ACTTGCTATGACCCCATACAAAAGGGGTCTATAACTGCCACCCAGCCCTGCGCAGACACCCCCTTTGCACTACCCAGGCAGGTCACCTTCCCCTTTCAATAAACCTGACCTGAGTATCTCTGCTGTGGCCTCAGCTTTGGGTGCCACCTGTCCTGGCCAGAGAGCAAAGTGGTGCTGCACTGGGAGGCCGAGGCATGTGGATCTCCTGAGCTCACAAGTTCCAGACCAGCCTGAGTTAGAGCAAGACACCTCCCCCTGCCCAGTTCTAAAAATAGCCAGGCATTGTGACAGACTCAGCTACTCAGCTACTCAGGAGGCTAAGGCAAGAGAATCCCTTAAGCTGAAGAGTTTGAGGTTGCTGTGAGCTATTAACTTACAGCACTCTACCCAGGGTGACCACGTAAGATTCTGTCTCAAAAAAAAAAAAGTGTTGCTGCAGAGGCTCCCTGAAGGACAACACTGCCACCTCCTGGCCAGAATTCAGGTAGCAGCCGCTTGCATTGGGCCGCCAGCTGAAACCTATTGAGCTCACTATTGATCAGAATTCCCCTCCTAATGCTCTACCGCCTCCTCCCCCCACAAAGGGCTTAAAGTAATGACTTGGAAATATTTTTAGTTGAGGACCTTTTCCAGCAACTGACTAAATTTCACCAAGAGCCTCTCCCTGTCTGTATTTGTTGTTCCTTCTGCCAAGCCATCCTGTCATTTGAGTATTTCTGTCCACAGCTCTTTCCACACACCACACCTGGTTCTTTTCTTACCTTGATCACAAATCCTTGAGTCATTCCCTCGCTTCTTTACTCCTTCATGCAATCCTAGAGAATTCAAAATTAAAACGGGAGCTTTTATCTTCACTTGAAGAGCATAAATCCTGGGACCCTATTCCCAGAGGCAGCTGCTATCAAGAACAACCAGCTTGGCTCCATGCCTGTGGCTCAAGTGGCTAAGGCGCCAGCCTCATACACCTAAGGTGGCGGGTTCAAATCCAGCCCAGACCCGCCAAAACAACAATAATGGCTGCAACCACAAAATAGCCGGGCTTTGTGGTGGGTGCCTGTGGTCCCAGCTACTTGGAAGGCTGAGGCAGGAGACTCGCTTGAGCCCAGGAGTTGGAGATTGCTGTGAGCTGTGATGCCACAGCACTCTACCCAGGGGGATAGCTTGAGGCTCTGTCTCAAAACAAACAAAAAAAAAAGAACAACCAGCTCTCAGCTCTGCCATGAAAGGACAGTCTCCTCCCTCACTGCCTGCCCTCCTTGAATCCTGTTGATCCTTCTTCCTAGATGACCCCTTCCTCTAAGCCCTCATTTCTCCTTCCCACCATTTCTGTCCTGGCCAAGAAAGTCATTATTTCTTGCCTAAACTACAACATTAGCCCTTAATTTGTCTGAGAATCTTCATTCTTTCTCCAAAACTTCCCTTAACGCCCCTACCCCATTCTCTATCTTGTCACCAGACTGATATTTCCAAAATACAAGTCTGACCTCATCACTCTCAGGTTTAAAAACCTGAGTGTTCCAAACTGTCCAAATGCTTTCATCTAAGGGGTGGGTGTCAATCCTGGCGTCAGAATCCCCTGGGAGCTTTAGGAAGTTCAGATGCATGAGACTTACTTGAGACACATCCAAGCAGAGTCTGCAGAGGGGACATGAACAGCTGTGCACAGAAAGCTCCCACTGAGTCCCCAGGAGTGAGGGCTGAGAACCTTAGCACAGCTATGGCAAAGACAGAATCCTGCCCTTTGTCCAGGGTGGCTCCCCCCACCAAGCTCTCCTCTCCCAATCAAGAAACTACATCTCCTCCCTCAAATCCATGGTCAACACTCCATGTTTTCCCATCTGTGCCACCAAGTGTCCTTTGCCACAGGTGCCCTGCCTCCCCTCAAGCCTCTGGTTTCTCCCCGAGCCGCTCATCCTTGCCAACATCACACACCCAAGAAACTTTCTCCCTCTGGCACCCTGGCAGGATTCATCACCCCACTCTGCTACAGTGTCCGGCCCCTGTTGACTCTCTCTCCCCGTTGTGCACTCACAGTCACAATTTGCTCCCACAGCTGCCTCTTCCGCCACCCAAGAGCTGCTCAAAGGCAGAGCTGTGCTTTGTCCATCACTGGCTTGCTTGCATCCCACTCGGAGCAGACAATGCTTTGAAATTTTACCAAATGGTGGGACATCAGCCCTTGCTCCTGCCCTAGTGCCTGGATTGCCTATATGGTCTGTGAGCGCCTCCATTTGCTTTAGTTTGTTCTGAAGGGTAGAAATTGTCCCTGTAAGCTTCAAAACCTTAAAGGCTGGCTCTAAAACAAGTGTTTGACCATCTCTGAAAAGCAGATTCTAGCCAGAAACTCATTCCACTGGCCCGTGTTCAGCTACCTGTGGCAGCTGCCTGTGCTGGTCACGTTAAAGTGAAATGAGGCACAGAAATGTAGGCTTGGAATGTTTTCCTCAGCCAAAGACCTTTTGAAAAGGGCATCCTGCCCCGTCCCCCGCAGAACCTTTGAAGGGTCAATTAAGGTTTTCTTTGTCTCCTCCCTTGCAGCACCGTGAGTCCAACAGGCAGAAGAATATAAGAAACTCCAGTTTTCTAAGAGTCCTCTTCTTGGCCAGCAGTGCAGGAGCCCTGGGGTCAGGGAACATGGCAGTGTACACTTTGTAGTCTGCTGCCACCGTAGATGCATCCAGAGCAAGAAGACCCTGGGTGATCCCCTGTGCCAGAGCTACTCAAGGAGTGGTCACCAGTTCAGCAGCAGCCCCCACCCAGCCCTGACCTACTGACCCAGAATGTCTAGGGAGGGGACACAGAAACCTGTGTTGAGAAGCACCACCTATTATCCACCATCCCTGGTTCTGGGCCAGTCCCTAGGATCTGACCCACTTTGGAGAGCGTTTTTCTTAAAAAACCTGGCCCCCTGGTATGAGCCTAAGGCTTTAGAATCACAAAGGTGAGTACTCCACTTGCAAACAGGGTTATAAAACACAGAGGGGAACCCTAGGAGAGGACCTGGAATTGGGAAGTTGTGTAGATAGACCTTTAAAACAGACAAGGAAATCAGCTCAGCTTCAGGCACTGACAAAGCTGGATCAAGACTAGGAAGTCTGGCAGGTTTCTATCCACATCCATAGAGAAGGTTTCATAGTCCACTACCATTCACCACCTCCATATCTTAATCCTGCCTTATTTTTCTTATTGTTCCTTGAAATTATACATTTATATGTGGTTTATTGTCAGTCTCCACCAGTAGAATATAAACACAATGGCAGGGATAATATGTTTTGTTCGCTTGTGTAACACAAATGCTTTGAACAGTACCTGGTACCTCATAGGGCTTAATCTATACTTGCGGAATCAATGAAAGACAATACACAAGCCCCATTAGTACAAGGACGGGGTCTGTCTTGCTCACCTCTCTGAGCTCACCTCTTGCTCATCTGTTTCCCCAGTGCCCAACACACCACCTCCTACAAAGCAGACACTTAATAAAGTCTTGTTGACTGAATGAACAACATGCACACACAGTTTAAATGACCAGCACCAGCAATGAAACTGAACTTCATTCAGACTGTCCATCTGCAAAGCAAGCAGTTACCATGGCACCGTTCAAGGTATCTCCAGGGAGAGGTGGAGGGCAAGAGACAGGGAGACTGAACACCTTACAGGTTGACCAGAATGCTTTCAGGAGTGTGGCTTGCCATTCACCCCAAGCTTGAAAGCTGGAGAAACCTAGGCTATAAGCCACGCTCTGGTCCTGGAGGGTACTGCACCTTTTAGGGCATTTGCCATCCTTCCCACTCACTTCTCCTGCAGTCCAAATATCACTATTTGCCATCAGGAAAAGAAGAGACCGCAGCCAACCAAATTCCATTATAATGCACAAATTGTACCTTCACTTGCACTTAGGTTAAATTTAGAATTCAAGTGCACTTAAGTGGGGAAAATAACACAAGGCAATTTTTTTTTTTAAAATCAAGTGGTTTATTATTTTTTTTCTTGAATAGGAATTTAATTACTTCAATGGTCACTGACTTCACTGCAAAAATACCTTCCAAAATTATAGGAAATAAACAAGAAGGAGCTGACCTTGCCAAGCTTGTCCAATCAATAGTAAGACTCAAGGCACTGGCAGCCTCAGGAAACTCAGGGGTCACAAAGCACTGTTGAGCCGCCGGGAGGGAGGCATGAAAGGGGGTCACAGGAGAGACTTTGGGAGGCACCAATTATCAAGAGAGTCAAATTATTTACACTTGAAATGAGTGAGAATTTATTCACAACATATGCAGATCTATGAAAGTGATTATGCAAATGACCGGAAAGAGGGCATTTAAAAATAGCAGAAAAATAGGAGCTTCAGTTTCCAGCATGCTGGATACTAGTCAGAACTTAGCTAAATGTGAATCCATCCTGGCCCCTTTTTATTCTCTTTATTCTCCCTAACACCAGCAATTTGAAAGAGGGGAAATTTGTGCCTTTTTTCCCCTCAAAACCCAGTGGGGAAAGGAGGTAACGAACATCCAGTTGCCTCAGTCCCAATCCCTAGGTAATCAGAGCCCCTCTTTGGTGCTTCTTCCTAGAGAGAAGATTTGGATTAGCAGAACCTCAAGTATGCATGTATATGTTTCTAGACATTTCTAGAAACTTCCAATCAGTAAAGTGGGGGATGATTCTTTTTTGTCCTAATCCAATATATTTGTTACTGAAGACTAGGTGAATACCCCTGCGGTTTCCATACTGTCTTTTCCGGACATCCTGTGCAACTACTATTTTGTTGGGTTTCAGGCCCCCTCATACAGATGGGGAAAACAATGCAGGTGACAGAAAGGAACCTCCGTGATTGGAAGCTGGGGACCTGCTTTGGTCTGTGGGATATCTAGTCTTCTCAGAAACCAGCACTATGAGCACTCCACCTTCCATGCACCAGGTACCGACTCCCCACCCCATCCCAAGCTTGCCCAGCCCCCAACCCGGCTGGTCGTGTCCCTGCACTTGTCGCTCAAAATGGGCCATCAGAGTGTCCTCGTCTTTCCTCCCAGCGTCCGCTTCTTTCTGCCCAGCACACGATCACTGCTGTAGCCATGAGGGCGGATTTTCAACTCCACGTAAGGAATGGAGAATTCATGTCCTTTCCAGGGCTCCCAGTTCACCCCCTGCACACATACAAAAAAAGCCACATCAACAGAAGGTAGGGTGGGTTATGGAACAACAGAATCCTTCTTTACCAGTGAAACCACTGTCTGGCTGCTTGCGGGTAGCAGGAGAGGTGACTGGATTATAAGGGAGGTGAGGGCAGGGGCTGGGAACGTGCGCCCTCTGCTGGGAAGTCGGCGTGAGACAGGCTGGGGACGCGGAAGCCTCCGTGGGAAGAGGACAGGATGGGAGCCAGCAAGTGGGTGTCACGGCCGGAGCGCCATGGGATTAACTTGGGGTCAACCCGGCCTGCAATGAGAAAATTATCTTTGCCTCACTCTTTTCCTTTCCAAAAAATTAAAGGCAAAAATAAACGTATTAATTGGCCGATTGTGTAAAATCATTTTCAATTTAGACTGTTTAGATATTAGCTCTGGGGTAACAAATAGCCTGCTGAAAACGAAATTTCATTTTATGTCTTTTGACTGGTGAGCGCAATAATATTTAATTCACTTAATAACCTTGCAACCTGGCCAATAACGAGCCCAAGTGACCAATTTTATGTATTTTAATTTGTGAGGTAAATAATAAACAAGAAGCTAAATGCCTCGCAGACTGTGAAAAGCACGTTAACCAGATGAATGTCTTTTATTAGCAAATATGGGATGGTTTAGGGCATGCTGGCTGCGCATTTGAAATATGTGATCTCCTATCACAGGCTTCCCTGAGCCGGCCCACAAGCTGCCGCCTTGCTTCATCAACCCACCCCACCCTCCTTGGCTTCCCCTGGGGGGGCGCAGGGCAAGTTTCTTCTTCCATTTGAAAAATCACAGAAAGATCAGGAGTCCTCGTAGTTTGGTCAGAGTCAAAGTAATCAAAAGGTACCTGGAGTTTAGATGTGTTAATATTTACAGTAATATTAGCACGAGGTGAGTTCTGGGAAGAGGTGGCTTCCTGAAGGCTCAGGATCAGGGTATAGGATGCGAAATTAAAAGCCCAGGGTGGGGACTCCAAGAGGTTCTGAAGGGAAGAGGATTAATGGTGAGTAGAAGCAAAGATGCAATTTTCAAGATGCTAAGCAGGAGCAGGCTGGAGACGCTCTGTAACTGGCTGAGTCAGGCTAATATAGATGATATACAGTAGTCCCAGAGGGTCAATAAATCACAGGTAGGAAAGTTTCAGAGCAACTCCCAGCCCTGTGTGTACACTCCTCAAATGGAGCGACTGGGCTGCCACACTGCTCTGGGCAGGCTTTGGGTGAAGTAGACCCAAGGATGTGTCTGACCTAACTCAGAAAGAGCTTTGTTTTCCTGATGATCAAGAAACTTGAGGCTCTGTGCCTGTGGCTCAAGTGGCTAAGGCGCCAGCCACATACACCTAAGGTGGCGGGTTCAAATCCAGCCTGGGCCCACCAAACAACAATGACGGCTGCAACCAAAAAATAGCCAGGTGGTGTGGTGGGCGCCTGTGGTCTCAG